GTCTCCTGTCTCAGCCTCCCAAGTAGCTGGGACCACAGGCGCCTGCCACAATGCCTCGCTATTTTTTGGTTGCAGCCATTATTGTTGTTTGGCGGGCCCGGGTTGGATTCGAACCCGCCACCTTAGGTGTATGTGGCTGGCACCTTAGCCGCTTGAGCCACAGGCGCCGAGCCGAGATACAAAATTTAATAGAAAAGTGACTAACATTTTGCTGGAGAGAAATAAGTTATACTATAATCCAAAATTCCTAAAATAGTGATAAATCAGCTGGATTATTCATCTGTATAAAAGACTGTCTATATTAACCTACTTCAAAAATATTACCACTTTTTTAATAAAAATCATTATACTTCTTAAAATCAAGCAAAGCCTGTACATACTATCAGCCTCTTGCCTCTAATTTGTGCCTTCTTCTGTTTAGTCTTCCCACAAGACCTAAATACACCAGACATGCATGCTTTATTCCTGCCATATGACATTTTCTCATTTATTTTATTATTAAAAAAACCCCACAAAATGTATGGGTGTGGGGTGTAATGTGAGGCCACATGTGGAAGAACATTATTTGCAATCTTACTGGATCATTACTTATGAAATGTACCTATTAACTTTCTCTCTCCTCTTTCTTAGAACAAGTTCCAGGGAATGGTCTTCGATTTTGTAACCAGACAGGTGTTTGATATCAGCATCATGATCCTCATCTGTCTCAACATGGTCACCATGATGGTGGAAACTGATGACCAGGGCAATGATATGACCGTAGTTTTATCCCGGATCAACCTCGTGTTCATAGTCCTGTTCACTGGAGAATTTGTGCTAAAGCTTATATCCCTCAGATACTACTACTTCACTATAGGCTGGAACATCTTTGATTTTGTGGTAGTGATTCTCTCCATTGTAGGTAAGAATGGTTGAATTACAGAGAGGTGCAGCTGTAGGGTAACAGTTCCCTGAAGGCCTGCCAGCTGCATAATAATGTGGAAATGTGAAACATAATAACGCATGTAGATCTAAAGTTCAGCACTAACTTATTCGAAGAAAAACTCTGAACCCTGGAATTATTAGCAAAGCTAATTAGTTAGAAACCATGCTAGAAATACTGGGTTTGGGGAAAGGAAGAGGAAGACAGGAAAAAAGTATCATTAGATATTCTTTTAATCTAAAAGTCACAGGCTAAGGGCAGAGACTAACTGTAAAGTGATCAATGTGATGCAGTGAGGTGGGTACTCTAGAAGCACTAAGGAAGAGGTAACCGCCTTTGCTTGAAGGAATTCATCCCAGCTTCCAGAGGTAAGAATGGTGACATCATGGACATGTCTTGAAAGAAAAGTAGAGATTTAATAAGAGAAGAGGGAAGATGGGGCATTATAGAACCCCAAAGTAGAAATTTTAGCTTTGACTTCATATCAAATATTATTCATTTTCTGCTAACCAAAGAATATCATCATTAAAAAATAGAAAACAATATATTCAGAAATAACCTTTGTTGTGATGGCCACAATTATCAACCAATTTGGCGATAACTATTCATAGTGATTAGGTGTATATAACTTCAAATTATCAGGCGATTATCTGAGATTACTTGGAATTTGCAAAAATCCATTTTGATTTATGACATTGTAGAATCGTTGAATAAAACTCTGCAATCTTTAATTTCTAATATCAGGGAGTGGATTCAAATATAAGGTTTGTATTCATAACAAATTTGTTATTTTCATAGACTTTGAAAGGATATGTCATTCTATATATACAAGATAGTCACAGTTTTGCTGTGTTCCATATTTTTCCACAGGTATGTTTCTAGCTGAGATGATAGAAAAATATTTTGTGTCCCCCACCCTGTTCCGTGTGATCCGTCTTGCCAGGATTGGCCGAATCCTCCGTCTGATCAAAGGAGCAAAGGGGATCCGCACGCTGCTCTTTGCTTTGATGATGTCGCTCCCTGCCCTGTTCAACATCGGCCTCCTGCTCTTCCTGGTCATGTTCATCTATGCCATCTTTGGAATGTCCAACTTTGCCTATGTTAAGAAGGAAGCTGGAATTGATGACATGTTCAACTTTGAGACCTTTGGCAACAGCATGATCTGCCTTTTCCAAATTACCACCTCTGCTGGCTGGGATGGATTGCTAGCCCCTATTCTTAACAGTGCACCACCTGACTGTGACCCTGACGCAATTCACCCTGGAAGCTCAGTGAAGGGGGACTGCGGGAACCCATCTGTTGGGATTTTCTTCTTTGTCAGTTACATCATCATATCATTTCTGGTTGTGGTGAACATGTACATCGCCGTCATCCTGGAGAACTTCAGTGTTGCTACTGAAGAAAGTGCAGAGCCCCTGAGCGAGGATGACTTTGAGATGTTCTACGAGGTCTGGGAGAAGTTTGATCCCGATGCGACCCAGTTTATAGAGTTCTCCAAACTGTCTGATTTTGCAGCTGCTCTGGATCCTCCTCTTCTCATAGCAAAACCAAACAAAGTCCAGCTCATTGCCATGGATCTGCCCATGGTCAGTGGCGACCGGATCCACTGCCTCGATATTTTATTTGCCTTTACAAAGCGTGTTTTGGGTGAGAGTGGAGAGATGGATGCCCTTCGAATACAGATGGAAGACCGGTTCATGGCATCAAACCCCTCCAAAGTCTCTTATGAGCCCATTACAACCACATTAAAACGCAAACAAGAAGAGGTGTCTGCTGCTATCATTCAGCGAAATTTCAGATGTTATCTTTTAAAGCAAAGATTAAAAAAGCTAATAAATAAATATGATAAAGAGACAATCAAAGGGAGGATTGACTTACCTCTAAAGCCAGACATGATTATTGACAAATTAAATGGTAACTCTACCCCAGAAAAAACAGATGGAAGCTCCTCAACCACGTCTCCTCCTTCCTATGATAGTGTAACAAAGCCAGACAAAGAAAAGTTTGAGAAAGACAAACCAGAAAAGGAAAGCAAAGAGATAGAGGTCAGCGAAAATCAAAAGTAAAAAGAAACCAAGAATTATCTTTGTAATCAATTGTTTACAGCCTACGAAGGTAAAATGTTCGTGTCAACTGGACTTCGAGAGGAGGTCCACGCCAAACTGACTGTTTAACAAATACTCATGGTCAGTGCCTATCCAAGACAGTGACCTCTCTGTCACTGCAACTCTGTGAGACAGGGTATCAACATTGACAAGAGGTTGCTGTTTTATTACCAGCTGACACTGCTGAGAAGAAGCTCAATGGCTACCTAGATTAGAGGGACAGTTGTGCAAAGTGATCACTGTAACTACACCAAACACCTTTCGGGCAGTACTTGCATCCATTCTATTTTTAACTTCCACATCGGCCATATTTTTACAAAATTTGTTCTAGTGGATTCCCATGGTCCCTAATTCATAGTTTATTCATAATACTATGTTACTATTTTTGTAAATGAGGTTTACGTTGAGGAAAAAGTGTATAAGAACCCTGTGGTCCAATTTGACAAGTCTCTCAATCAGACAAAAGTGTTTTAACTGAGAGATAAAAGTCGTGCTCAAAACCAGTAAAAAAATTCTTATGTCTACAATTTCAATTATTTCCACTTTCTAGATGACTTTGATTTTGAAAGTGTTTAGTCTGTTACGTTTGTTTCTATCTGAGCAGTTAGTGCCTGTAAAGTCTCTTCTGATAGTTAAAGGATTATTTTTATGCAAAGTATTCTGTTTCAGCAATTGCAAATTTTATTCTAAGTTCCAGAGCTCTATATTTAATTTTGGTTCAATGCTTTCCAAAAATGTAATCTAATAAATCTGTTCTAGAAAAGTCTATCTAACCTATCACTTTAGAATAGTTGTTCCACTTTCTGCTGCAGTATTGCTTTGCCGTCTTCTGCTCTCAGCAAAGCTGACAGTTTATGTCAATTAAATATCCTCTGTTATGTAAATAGTTATTTTATCCTGTGGTGCATGTTTGGGCAAATACATATATCTAGCCTGATAAACAACTTCTATTAAATCAAATATGTACCACAGTGTATGTGTCTTTTGCGAGCTTCCAACAGGGATGTATCCTGTCCCATTCATTAAACATAACTAGTTTGAAGGCTATCACTAATGCATGTTAATATTGCCTATGCTGCTCTATTTTACTCAATCCGGTCTTCACAAGTCTTGGTTAGAAAAGATCACATGTTGGTGACAGAATGAATTCAACAAGCTCTCTGTCCATTATGTCCAACAGAACAGTTTGAAGTTACTTAAAAACATCTTCACTTTTGCATTTTTAATTCAACTCGAGTATCACCTGGTATCTCTCTCAAAGAAACACACTGCATACCGCCTGTTGTCAAAACCTCTACTTCACATTTTGCTAAATTATGTCTCAAACTTGTTTAAATATAAATAATGTAAAAATACGATCAATTTTATTTGTCAGCATTTTGTACATAAGAAAATTATTTTCAGGTTGAGGACATGGCAACTTATTTTACTTTATGCTTTTGCTTTTTATTTTTAATCACAATTCCAAACTTTTGAATCCATAAGACTTTTCAATGGGTAATTTCCTAAAATAAAATTTAGACACTGGATTTTGTGGATTTCTTTGTTACGATATTACTTTTTACCATTTTAATAAGAGATGCGTTGGTCAAAAAAATCAAACCCAGATCATTTTCTACCAACTGTGGTTGCCTCACTATAACCCTTTATTCATGGAAGTTTTTTTAATTCAACTTTTATAGTATTTACGTATGCAGACTAGTCTTATTTTTTTAATTCCTACTGCACTAAAGCTATTACAGGTAAAACATGGGCTCTGTTCTTTTTAGCCATGAACAAAGTGGCAAAGTTGTGCAACTAACTAACATAATTTTTTTGTTTTTGCACAAACCAAAAGTTCAATGTTAATTCCTTTTACAAAACTATTTACTATAGTGTATTGATGAAGTGCATGCAGGGAATTGCTATTACTAAAAAGAATGGTGAGCTACGTCATTATTGAACCAAAAGAATAAATATTTCATTTTTTATTGTATTTCATGTATTGGCCTCTGACTTTTTTATTGTTGGCAGTTTAAAATAATATGACTAATAAGACCTGTGCGTAATCTGACACTTGCATTCATAAAAGTTCACAGGAAGTTTATAACAATCCAGTGCGGGATCCACCAAGCAGGACTACAGCTACAGAATAAAGTCTAATGCAAAGCAGTTTTTGTGAACTTCTGTGTATGCAAAGAATCCAGTCTACGTGTTTTAATTTTCTGATTTGATAATAGTAATAACCCCCTAAAATGGCTATTAATTCCATTTAATTCCCTTGGCTATAAGCATTCAAATCTCAACTCCTCTTGATATAATTGATGCTGTCTCCTGATTTCTTGGTGGCTAACACATGCTACATTCTTTGTTACTTAAATACATTCCATGAATTACTACTTATATGTAAAGGTAATGATGGTATAGTAATTGAGAATTTATATTAACTTTTTCAGGGTCCCTTGAATTTATGTGAGGTCAAAACCAAACTTTTATTCTCAGTGGAAAACTCCATTTGTAATGCATATTGGTAAAGAAAACTTGGATCTAAATATATATTTCATAATTTCCCTAGAAGAAAT